TAAAGGATGGAGTTATTCAGAACATCTGTTCAGGACATAGACGTTCATGGCTCTCCACAGATTATTTTTCTTAATTTTCTGCGAATTGCCATGAATTCTTGAGAAAGGTAGTAGAGCTGATCCCTTCGCCTTCAACACGGTTTAGAATACAGAGTTTTTCGTCTTTTAGACTGGCTGCCAACCGGGGTAAGAAGAGATGGAGTCGTGGCTTTCCGATGGCTTTGTGCGAAAGTAAACGCATCGGGTTAGGTAGGAATGTGAACACGGGTCGCTGATTTCACTTTTCGCACCGATAACAATTATGCTACCCGCACATCCTCACCTTATTAATCCCTTGTATTTAAGTGTTCTTGAATTATAAATAGATATTTTCTTTAAGCTGTTATTCAGAAATCAGTTTTTAGGGCGTTAATAGAATGTATTTTGTTGTCTGTTTGTGATGGGAATAGTGCGGGGGAGGAAATAAGAATAATGTTACGACGTGACTGCCAAGAGTGAGACAGAAGTTACTCACGAAATTTGATTGAAAATTCCATAATCAAAGATGGAGTCGACCCCGAGGGAAAGCAGTCACGCTGCACAAAGAAAGAAAAGAGATTGTTGAATACTTCCACGAGCATAGTAGTAAAGACCTTCCTAACAGTCTCCAATCGTAAAACATCAAAGAGAGAAAGAGAGACGGAGAGAAACAGAGAGACGGAGAGAGATTATTGATCGGCTACCTTCGAACAAGCAGGATGAGAGACGCGGATTATTATGTGAATCTGTTGAAATACAATCACCAAGGCCAAAATCTATTTTCGTTATTCAGGGGATCATCGACACTACCCTTAAAGAAATTTTTTTCCTCTAGTGAAAACCACAGCTGACAACATAGAAGGAAAAGATGCGGGGGAATTCAGAGATAATTACATCAATAATAATAATAATAATAATAATAATAATAATAACTGTCCTGATGCTACACCAGACATGACTTTTGTGACTTCTGATCTTAACGTTTTGTCTTAGTGCATTAGGACAGGCTCCAATAAATATCTCGTTCAGTAGCACAAATTTGCTTTTCACTTTCTCAAACATAACTATTTGGATATTACAAAAGTATCAGCACCGTCATATTATTGATGTTGCCGTACCAAATGACAGAAATATAGCAAACAATGTGATTAAGAAAATTACAAAGTATTCTGATTACAAAGTTCAGATGGCAAGATTGGAATTCAAGAAAGGAATGTCAAGATGATTCCAGTTGCGATTGGCGCATTGGGATCAATGTCATTAAAACTGTGCGACTTGTTTGGCCAGCTTGGCGAACCATACCAATTTGAAATCATCTGCGTGTATCTTCAATAAAGTGTTGGTCCGTCTGAAGTCCTTGTGTCGACTTATGTCAATAAATGCCCTGACGCTACATCAGGCGTGAATCTAATGGCTTCTGACTTTAACTGATTGGAGGTGTTGACTTGTACATGTTTTGTCTTGGTGAATTAGAACAGGTTCCTGTAAATATCCCGTCCAGAAGTAACAAATTTGCTTTTCACTTGCTCAACCATAACCATTTGGGAGTGTCCTCTTGGGACTGGCGCACTGTGAATCTCTGTTTATGATTAGGAATAGTGGCAAAGCATTATGGCTGGGTGTTGAGAGTGTTCTATTTTTCTTTTTTAATTGAAGGATTTGACAACCAGAGCAACTTGAGATTTACATTTTGATACTAGAAACCTTCTGAGCGGACTGAGTTACGTGATCTGATGGTATTTCTAACTGGGCTCCAAATGAAACGCACTTTTATCAAAACCCGTCACCATATCGCGCATATTTGGCTGTGATGCGTGTGCCTGCTATACCTTTATCAAACTGGGTATCATGGTGGATATACTAGATTTCGTTTATTTGTAGCTCAGCGTCACTTTATTGACGTGCTACTCTCTAACTCAGTAATAATAATAATAATAATAATAATAACTGCCCTGATGCTACACTAAACATGGCTCTCGTCGCTTCTGATCTTAACTGAATGGAGGTGTTAACATGTAGGTGTTTTGTTATGCTGATTTATAATAGTAATGGCAATGGTAATATTAACCGTTTCCCTACAAGGAAACATTTGGTATGCATTAACCGAACAGCTAGTACTGCGCCTGGTTGAAATCTTGGTTGAAAATCTTTCTCTTAAAAAAAAACAAATTTTTCAGGAAAATAGGTTTTTCAATTTCATTAACTGCTAGCGCTCGTATTGATGGGGGTTTCCTTCTTAACCTTTTATTTGAAGTACTGTAGAGTGTCAAAAATTTGATTATGTAATTATTTTCTCTTTGAGTTACATGTGCTATCCATTTTAGTTGTTACTGCTGTTGTTACTCTTCAAGTCATGTAGTTTTTGTTATTTGGTACAGTACTTTGTTTGTGAATCTATATCGCCACTTCACAATGTTCAAAAAAAGAAGGATGATTTTTGCTAAAACCCTCCACCTTCACTCACTCAAAGATGGACTACAGC